TGATACGTAAACATTCGATAAATAAAGTTGGGTCGATAATTGTTTATGCTTAAAGATTTTATCCATTGCAAAAGAATGGGAAGTACAAACAAGCAAGTATTGAACAATAGCACAAAAAGGTCTAGAACCTTGGCTCACAGGAATCTTGGCCCTGGTAATGTACAGCCTTCATAAACAATTGTTCTAGTGATATCATGAAGATATGCATTAAAAGTAATTTCTATCAACCTGTAATTCGAAATAAAAGATGCCAGATATCATTTGTACAAGATTTTATCCACAAGTTGCATATTAGAGTTTTTCAAATTTGATATCATTAGAACGAACTTTTCAATTTCCTCATGAGATGGGATAGTTGGAGATACCTTTTTCTTACTCATTGTGAAGGCAGTTGTCCCACACCCTGACTTTTGATCTTCTACTATGTATTTCAACAAGAAAAAAGTTAATAATTGGAAAATATTAAATGCAAAAGATGCAGAACAAAACCACAAAACTACTATAGCAACGAACATGGGACTCAACATAAACACAACAAAAACCAAGGTGATGAGCATCAACCAAACAGACAACACTATAAACCTGGACGGAGATGTACTGGAGGAAGTAACATATTCACTGACCTGGGAAGTGTCATCAGGAAAGACGGAGGGAGCGACAGAGGGAGTGACTGAGGGAAAGACGGAGGGAGCGACAGAGGGAAAGACGGAGGGAAAGATGGAGGGAGCGCGGGAAGGAAAGATAGAGGGAAAGACGGAGGGAAAGATGGAGGGAGCGACAGAGGGAAAGATGGAGGGAGCGACAGAGGGAAAGATGGAGGGAGCGACAGAGGGAAAGATGGAGGGAGCGACAGAGGGAAAGATGGCGGGAGCGACAGAGGGAAAGATGGCAGGAGCGACAGAGGGAAAGATGGAGGGAGCGACGGAGGGAGCGATGGAGGGAGCGACGGAGGGAGCGACGGAGGGAAAGACAGAGGGAAAGATAAAGGGAGCGACAGAGGGAAAGATGGAGGGAGCGACAGAGGGAAAGCATGAGGGAGCGACAGAGGGAAAGATGGAGGGAGCCACAGAGGGAAAGATGGAGGGAACATGAGGGCAGGAGCGACAGAGGGAAAGAGGAAAGGAAGGACGACAGAGGGAAAGATGAGGAAAAGGACGGAGGGAGCGACGAGAGGGGAGGACGAGGGAAAAGACGGGAGAGGAAAGTGGAGGAAAGAGGAGGGAGCGCGGGAAGGGAAAGATAGAGGGAAAGACGGAGGGAGCGACAGAGGACAAGAGAGGGAGCGCAGAGGGAAAGATGGAGGGAAAGATGGAGGGAGCCGAGAGGAAAGATGGCAGGGAGCGACAGAGGGAAAGATGGAGGGAGCGACGGAGGGAAAGACAGAGGGAAAGATAAAGGGAGCGACAGAGGGAAAGATGGAGGGAGCGGACAGAGGGAAAGATGGAGGGAGCGACGAGGGAGGGGGAAAGGATGGAGGGGAAAGATGGAGGGGAGCGAGACAGGGAAAGATGGAGGGAGCGACAGAGGGAAAGATGGAGGGAGCGACAGAGGGAAAGATGGAGGGAGCGACAGAGGGAAATATGGAGGGAAAGATGGAGGGAGCGACAGAGGGAAAGATGGAGGGAGCCACAGAGGGAAAGATGGAGGGAAAGATGGCAGGAGCGACAGAGGGAAAGATGGAGGGAGCGACAGAGGGAAAGATGGAGGGAAAGACGGAGGGGGAAATGGAGGGAGCGACGGAGGGAAAGATGGAGGGAGCGACAGACATACAAACAAGAATAGGGAAGGCTTTTTTAATGTTGAGACAAATATGGACCTCCAAGATAATTTCAACAAGAAATAAAATACGCATTTTCAACTCCAACGTCAAATCAGTTTTACGGGGCAGAAACATGGAGAACCACAAAAGTAACAAGCAATATACTTCAAACTTTCATAAACAAATGCCTAAGACACATCCTGGTAATATATTGGTCAAACACCATAAGAAACGAAGAGCTCTAGGAAGTCACACAACAACAACAAATTGAAATCCAAATAAAATGCAGGAAATGGGCCTGGATTGGGCACACCTTGAGGAAACCACCCAACACGACCAGACAGGCTTTAACCTGGAACCCAAAGGGGGAAGAAAACAGGGAGAACCCAGGAACAGCTGGAGAAGGTCTGGAGGCAGAACTAAAAGAATCAGGATCGTCCTTGAAGGAAGAAAACCACCCAACTCCGAACCCCATGGAGGAAGATCGTGAATGACCTATTCTCCCCCAAAAGCAAAAGGGTTTAAATCAAGTAAGAAACCTTATGGCCTGGCAGTTAAATCCCCAAAATTAGCAAATTGTCATTACCAGCAGAAAATGTGTTGGTATTGACGATTTCTGGGTTATTTCCATTACAAAGTAGTGACTTTTTGTATATCTTCTGTATAAAATGGGTACACCTCTGCCCAGTACTGCTTATTACAGGATATTATACTGTCTTTATATCAACCATGTTGTAGATATCCATTTCCAACTATCCTAATTCAATTCACCATTACCCTGTCATTACTGCCAGACAGCCACAATGTAATCCATCAAATTGTATTTATAAAGCCCTTTTTACATCAGCAGATGTCCCAAAGTGCTATACAGAAACCCAGCCTAAAACCCCAAACAGCAAGCAATGCAGATGTAGAACTCATGGTGGCTAGGATACACTCCCTAGAAAGGCAGGAACCTAGGAAGAAACCTAGAGAGGAACCAGGCTCTGAGGTGTGGCCAGTCCCCTTCTGGCTGTGCCACAGCATTCCAAAATATATATATACTATTTACACATGAAATATCACACTTCTGTCTATGTCAAGTGTAAAGCACTTACTTGTTCTCAATATAACTACTGTAAAAATGATAAATATATAGAAATTGCATTGTCGATGGTAGCCTCCATGCAGGTATAGAAGCTCAGCCAGCGAAATACCCAAATTTAAACATATTTATTTATTTTTATTTTTTATTTTATTTCACCTTTATTTAACCAGGTAAGCCAGTTGAGAACAAGTTCTCATTTACAACTGCGACCTGGCCAAGATAAAGCAAAGAAGTGCGATAAAAACAACAACACAGAGTTACATATGGGGTAAAACAAAACAAAGTCAAAAATACAACAGAAATAAATATATATACAGTGTGTGCAAATGTAGCAAGTTATGGAGGTAAGGCAATAAATAGGCTATAGTGCAAAATAATTACAATTAGTATTAACACTGGAATGATAGATGTGCAAGAGATGATGTGCAAATAGAGATACTGGGGTACAAATGAGCAAAATAAATAACAATATAGGGAT